AAATTTTTTCCGTGCGCATGATTGCGGAGAAGTTTTTGGCCAAAAACCAGAAAGTTTTTTGTGCATTCATGGACTTGGAAAAGGCTTATGACAGAGTGGACAGGAATGTGTTATGGCAAACACTGAACTCATATGGGATGAGCGCTGGTTTGATACAGGCATTAAGGTCTCTTTATAGGGACTCTAGTGCTTGAGTCAGGATCAATGGGGTCTACTCGGACTGGTTTGGCATCCAAAAAGGTGTCAGACAGGGCTGTGTAGCTTCCCCTTGGCTGTTCAACTTATTTATGGACAGGTGTTTGCAAACTTTGAAAGATGAAGAATGTGGGTTAAGAATGGGCGAGTTAACCGTCAAATGCCTTTTGTATGCCGATGATCAAGTCATATTTGCATCATCGGCGGCTGAGTTGCAAATGATGGTTACATTAATGAACTGGGAATTAAAAGAAAGGGGAATGAAAGTGAACGCAAGTAAGACGAAAGTGATGGTTTTTGAAAAAGAAGAAAGCAAAACGGTATGTGAAATAAGAATAGAAGGAGAGTTAATTGAGCAAGTGGATGAGTTTGTGTATTTGGGATGTGTATTTAGCAGGGATAGTAGATATGATAGGGATATAGAACGACGAGTAAATGCAGGGAATAGAGTGAATGGGGCACTACACTCTATTATGAAGAACCAGAATGTGTCAAAAAAGGCACGTATGGTAATTCATAATGCTGTGTTAGTCCCTACTTTAATGTATGGTAGTGAAAGCTGGGTGTGGCAGAAGAAGCACGAAAGTAGAATAAATGCTGTAGAAATGCGGTCTTTAAGGAGTATGCTAGGGTTGAATCTGAATGACAGGGTTAGAAATTGCGTGACAAGAGATAAATGTGGTATGCAAGATGATGTTGTGACCAGGATTAAGAAAGGAATGCTTCGGTGGTTTGGTCATGTAGAAAGAATGAATGAGGAAAGAGTGACAAAGCAAATTTATATGGCAGATGTGAACGGCCGAGTCGGGAAGGGACGCCCTAGAAAAAAGTTTATCGACCAAATTGGCGATATTTTGAAAAGGGGCCACGTTAGAAGTACCCTTAACCGACGAGCATGTTTGCGTAGATATATGGATGTAAAGGAGGCGAAAGAGGTATGTCAGGATCGTGCCAAATGGAAGTCCGTAGTCTCTGCCTACCCCTCTGGGTGACAGGCGTGAGTGTTTATGTTATGTTATGTTACTTAGCAAAAAAAACAAGTAACGCCTAACACTAAACAACACAGAACATGAAATGTAAAAAACATTGGACGATTACAATATTTTTTCTTCAATTTCCTCGTTGTACTCGCCCTCGTCTTCGTCGTCGCATCTTGGTACTGTTGGTACTCCGACACCAAGTCGCTCATATTGCTCTCAGCTTCTGTGAAGTCCATTTCATCCATACCTTCATCAGTGTACCAATGAAGGAGAGCCTTCCTGCGAAATATGGCTGTGAACTGCTCAAATATCCTCTTAATTGAATTGCTGTGGTATTTCCGATAAATGAGGCAGATATTTTATATTCCTAAGTATGTGTGTAGTTTATGTTTTTTTTTATAGAAGAGGGGGGAAAAGAGCATACGGTTCACCAAATGTCAAGTGACCAACCGCATGCCATGAACAACCGCAACACCAGGGGAATTGCAGGTGCGTTGCCGGCCCTTTAGAAAACTCTTTTCTTGAAGGTCCCTAGGTCGTATCAGGCCGGAAAAATCGCCGGTAGTAAGTAAACTATTCCAATGATAAGGTCGTGCGTGGCAGAAAACTTCTAGTGAAATGTACAGTGGTGGACCGCCAAGCATCCAGATGGTGTGGATGGTACCGAGACGTTTGCCACGTAGTGCGTTCACGAAATTTGGCGACTGGGATTAATCCGAACAATTTCTCAGAGCATATGGTATATGCGAAAGAAAATGGAAAGAGGTGCAACATCTCTTTGCAGCGCCAGTGAATCGAGCCGATCGGAAAACACTCGGTCGTCGACGCTTCGAGCCGCTATGCGCTGGATGCGGTAAAGTGGAAGGAGCTGACACTGAGGAGCACCAGCCCACAGATGGGAACAGTATTAGATGTGGGGCGGAACTTGCGCCTTGTAAAGTTGCAGGCGATGTGCCGGCATGAAATACTGTCCCGCTCTGCTAAGCACGCCAAGCTTTTTAGAGGCCAATTTGGCCTTCTCTTCCAAGTGACCACGAAACTGCACGTCATGTGTATTGTATTTATTTAATGTATTTCGGTATTGTTGTATTGTGTAATCTTTTTAATATAGTTCAACAGGTTTTTTTGTTACTATTGTTTTTAATTGGCACCTGCCAACATCTTTACTCCATCTTTCGTAGGGTTGGTAAAGAATACCATAAGGCATTAAGTCCTTGTAACCCTTAATTGAAAGTGTTGCACTAAAGAATAAAAAAAAACATATTCAGAGCAAGGCCTGGACGGGTTTAGGCTATATTTTATCACAAAAGCTTATATTTCATAAAGTTCAGGTGAAAAAATAATGAAAGTAAAAAATTCTATGGAAACAAAGTGTCGGGCGCAACTGGTTAGTTAATATAATAACTCTCATTGTCTAATGTATCACTGTTTTAACCGAATATAGTTAAAATCAAACACTATTATGTATTTCCATTAATATAAATATAATAATACTTGTAGTTGTAGGCAAAAGAGGATCATCCTCAGATGCACTCATGATGGATGTCGCAAATATATATGCTTTACAACATAAAATACAAGAAAATAAAATAATAAGATCATTAAAAATTCGTCGCAAACGTAGAATACTATAATAAACAATAGAATGGTTGTCAACTTTATTTTGTACGAGGAGTGGCGTCACCAAACCCGATTCGCTGTGTTGACATAAGTACTGAATAAATTTAAACATTTTAGACTTTTGATTAATGTTCAAGATCATCATTAAAAAATTGTTTAGATTTGAATACATATTTATTTGTAAATAGAGTGCAATTTGGCATTTTCAAAATAATTTGCATGCGAAATTTGGAAACGATTGTAACGTCAAAACACATCTCGTGTTGACATTTATACGTGTGAATTGACGTGTTAGTGACATTTTAGTGGCTACACGGGCTCCGCCCACTCCTCCGTTTATTATGTATGTATTATAGTATTCTATGGTCTCAAATGTCGCAAATATATAGTACGCTTCCCGATGTTGTATTTTTCTCAAAAATCCTATAAACAACAACGATTGACACGTTAGGTACCAAAGATAAGACGCTTCGCTAGAGTAAATCCTTTTTATTCTCGGTCTTATTGAATTTGGTATAATAAACAAGACTTCTTTTAGTTTCAACTTAACGAGAAAGTTTTTTTTTATTATATTGTTCACACAGTGCACAGTAAAAGTTTTTTTTAGCATACGGCCTAGAATTAATTATAAAATTTTATCCAATAGATCTAACCAGTATTTTATAGACGTGCTTATATACTTATTCGAATTACACTCAAAATATGAATATTTCGCTGTACAAAATCTGTTCGGCCGTGTAATCTCAGGACACAGACCTCAACAATTAGTCCGTCTGTTACGCAGTAATCCACATTTTTGTGTGCTAGGGTGTCAATGGATAAATAAATAACATATTTTAAAGTCGTGGGTATGGCACAAGAAGCACGACTGTAGAATTAATACTGTAGAAATGAAATCAATGAAAAGTGTGATAAAACTGATTCCGAATAGGACGAGAAATTGTAGGATAAGAGAAAAGTGTGGTTTGCAAGATTTGAGGCTATGATTAATAAAGGAATGCTGTGAAGGTTGAAACACGTAGAAAGGATGAATGAAGAACGATGACACGGTGATAGAGCCGTGTTGCAGCTATATTATAGTTGTAGCACGAATAGGTCAGCTCAACTGGGGTAGGACCACTCCCTCATAGAGTACCAGAACGTAATAAAATAGCTTAATGCTGCTGTGTTTATATTGTGATTGTATAGAACCGAAAACCCCTTTTACTGGAAACGAGGTATTCCATCTCAGTCCTTAGAAGGTACAACGCATCTGCATTTTGATTCATATTTATAAATGTCTATGGGTCACAGCAACCACTCACCAACCAAAACCAATTTTAACAATTTTTGGCTGGGATCGTTCTGAACTGAAGTTTATAGACGATATAATTGGCGATATATTGAAGATGAATCGAATCGACAGCATCTATAAACGACGAGTATGTGTGCGTATGGAATGTATATATATATATATATATATATATATATATATATATCAGGATTGTACTAAATTGAAGTAAGTTGTCTATCTTTTGTGTGACGAGCGAGAGTGTTTTATGAATATAATGTATATAATATGTATTTATTTATTGGTTACGTGAAAGTGTTATCGAGTCTAATTTTGGAATTGTTTTTGTATAAGCGACCGCTTGTTGTTAAGATATTAATGTTGACCTTTTGATATGTAATGACCTTTTGCATTAGGCGAGAAGCGATAGCGATGCGTCCGTCTCAGGAGATCAAATTAGTCTACTATTGAGGGGCTAAGTGCGTATCATAAATGTCACAGTACTCTAGTAACCTGGATTCAACATCCGTCGGCAGCAACGAAATTGTTGATTGTTATTTTAAGTGCTGTTTTATTAACTGTTCGGCGGTGAAGGATACTCGTGAAGAAAGCTGTATATCTCTCTAAAATATTGCGAGAACATGTGAAGTACGTCTAAAGAACAGACAGACAAACGACGCGGACAAATCTATAACTCTTTAAAGATCTGTGCCCAGCAGTGGGTTATATATTGACAGTAACTTTACTGTTGTTAGGTATTTAATGTTCACTTTATTGTGGAGTGCTTAGTAATATATAAATATTTTTCTAATTTTAATAATTTTTCTCCATTGCATAACATCGTCCAGGTTTCCGAACGATTGCGTATTCCTTTTTTAAACGTGCAGTAAATCGCGAGACTGCGTCCTCCATTGTCGGGTCACACGGTGTTTACAATGTGTGAGTACTTACTTATTTGTAGAGTTACATTTGTACAGGAAACGGAACTGTTTTGAGGAGCATTGCGTTTAAATTTACGGTCATTAATGAAAATAATGATTTCTTATATATAGGCGAATACTACACCTTAAACGAAATTATTTTTACGGATTTTGCGTTGACGTTGATTTGACGTTGCTTGCTACATATTTATTGATCTGTGGGGATTGATGGGGTTGACGTCCCAATGAACTAGTTAGCCCGGCTTCAGGTTTTTAATATTATGTTTGTTTTAATCTACGCAAAACGAGCTTACAGTATTTTGAACTACCGTGACCATGGGAGCTATAAAGCACCCGAAACTTCGAGAAATAAAAAGTTAAAATTAAGCGCGATAAAGTTCGTTAAATAAGTTTCATTTAATAATTGAAGCTAGTTTTGAACATGGCGGAGGATAAATTTTGTATATTTTGAGGGATCTAGTTAGATTAGATCTAGTAAAAGCGTATATATACATTGCCCCAAGAATAAATTACTGACTCGGTGGAGTCGAGTACCTGGTACTACTTGCTTGTGTCTGTTCCTAGTATTTACAGAGCGAATATCACATTTTTGTGTACATACAATACATTTTCATAAATGCATTGAGTGGTCAAAGTTAACATGTTAACTTCTTTAGACTTTTGTCTTAGAAACTATTTAGGTTTTAAAGCACAGATAACTCTGGCCCACTTCTGCGAAACAAATATAATTTCAGTGTCAAACATGTTTTGTGAGGGTTATGTGACTAGAAAAACTGGGTCATAAGTGCGCTAAAAAGGAGTGGAATAATATGCCGTCGTCTGTTTATCCGGCCGAATATGGGCGTCTAGGCAAAAGTAAATAGCCTTTTGTTACTTTTCCGGTTGTTCCCTATAAAATAAAAAAAAAAAAACCCCGCGGTTTCTTTTTTTTTTTATATATATAAAAAAGTTTTTTCCTTTTCTTACCGCGTGTGTTTCTTTGAGTTGTGTACTATTATATATTCGGAATATATGTTTTTATATATGTTCAGCGATAAATTTTGCCACGTTGTCCGGTTTCGAATGATTCTTGTTAGCGAGTAATAATGTCCTCTAGAATTAGGTCACGGCGCCGCCGCGTTTTAGCCTTTTTCCGTTGTAGATGGGACCACCCCTGAGGCACCCTCAGGGGTGGTCCCATTAAAATTTTGTCAATATCTGATGATGAGATTCATATGATCGAATAATTCTTTACTGCGACAACTGATTTCTTTGTTTCTTTCTTTATATATACTTATTTTTCGTTCTTTATATTTCTTATTATTAATATGTAATTATTTTTATCCGAGAGCCGTGGTAGCTCAGATGGTTAGCGCTCGCTGTAAATTTGACAGTACGCGAGCAAACCGGGTTCGATCCCCGCCGGCACCAATGAAATTGTTAATTGCAATTTTAAGTGCTGATTTACCACGTGCTCGGCGGTGAAGGAAAACATCGTGAGGAAAACTGCATGTCCGAGAAATAAGAAAAAAATATCGAAGACATGTGAAGTTCGCCAACACGTGCAGCGCGGCGGATACTTCCTTGCCCTAAAACCCTCTCAGAAATGAGGGGAGGCCTGTGCCCAGCAGTGGGACGTATATAGGCTGTAACTTTACTTTACTTTTTTATTTTTATCCGATTTCGAAAACGGAGGAGATTCTCTATTCGAATGTTTATATATTTTTTTAATTGTGTTTGGGTCCGTCATAAATAATCGGATTTGCAAAATTCTTTTTGTCCGAAAAAGGTTTATTCCGAAATGCTCCCATTTAATAAAGATCTGATGACATGTTTCGGAGACAGACGACTCTTCAATAAATGCCAGCAAATCAGCAGTGATTGCTGCTATCGCATATCTATGCATTTTTTACGCAATCACACAACATAACATTACGCTTGAACTTAATGAGTTTAGGTTTATGAGTTTATTTAATTTATATTGAAGTCAGTTGTACCAAACTTTAAACTACAATGGATACACAAATTTACTTACTTATCTAAGCCCATCTGGGTGTATAATTATTTACCACGTTAACTGATTATATTTTGTTTGGCTTTGATGTCAATTATTTTACGTTGTAGAGCCATGCTGTAGCTAGATTTTGACGATTATATTCTTTATAGTGTTTTTGTAGTCATTTATCTTAAGCGGTAGAGCTAAGCTGCAGCGAGATTTCGATGATTATATCTTTATAGTGTTTCGAAGTCAGTTAGCTAACGTGGTAGAGCCACGTTGTAGCTAGATTTGGATGATTATATTATTTGAAGTAGGTACTTTGAAGAGGATTCTTTTATGGATAGCCATTCGGAGATCCTTTTTAATGGAATTGTGGCATTATATCTATGTCCTCAGGGGCGACAATACATCTACATTTTGATTCTTAATCGAGCATAGATGTACATAGATGTCTATGGCCCACCCGTTTGCACATCCTTATTCTTAAAAATAATTGGGTATTTACTTTGCTTAAGGTTTAGTTATTATTAAATGAAAACCGTCAAACGAACCTACAGTCCACCTGATGGTAAGTGGCTACTGTAGTCCATGGTCATATACAGCCAACTTCAAGTGAGAAGTATTGCAATCAACTTCAATCGAGACTACAGTTACGTTGTCTCTTCTGAAAATTATGATGAATTACCTTACAGCCTGTAATTCTACTGGCTCTCCAATCATTTTAAGAGCCAAGAGGGTGATGCCAACAAAGTTAGCCTTAGCAGAAACAGGGACAAAATCTACTTCATACACCAGTTTAAGTCCAGTACTGGGACCCCTTACGTTGTAGGGAGAATTTGCTATATTGTTACTGTTGGAATCAACGATCACAGAAACACACGTCTCGCATATTTAATGGTGCTCCCCGCCACCAGTCTTTTTTATTTTTATTTATTTATAGGATAAGGGTGACAAACGAGCACACAGTCCACCTAATGGTAAGTGGTTGCTGTGGCTCATAGAAACCTACATCTATCCTTGATTACGAATCAAAAGCATATGCGTTGTCACCCGAGAGGACTAAGATGGAATGCCTGTTTTCCAGTAAACTATACGAAACACAACAGCGTTTTGCTGCTATTTTACGCTGGTATTCTGTGAGAGCGTGGTCCTTCCCCGGTCGAGCCGACCCATTCGTGCTAGAACTGTACTACTAATAATGTTGCAACATGGCTCTACCATGTAAAGTGTGTATAAGTCTGAGCGTTATATCTGGCGTAAACGAGATAGTTGTATAGCCAACTACCGGAAGCCGTAAGATGTTTCCACTATTTTCCATTGCCTCTTTCAACATCCACGCGACGAAATGCGGTGACCGCGTAAAAGATATCAGAGAGTCGCTTAATAGATAATGGGATGTATGTAGTGTCACATAGAGTAGATTTTTCTATGTTTATGTTTAAAATAGAGTTTGTTATTTCAATCTAAGAAATTATCTTATATTGTTATAAAGCGTCGCAAGCATCGTGATAGCGCAACCGGAGGCTAAAAATAGTTCTTATTGAATACTTTAACCATTAATATAACGAAAACTGTGGCATTATGAGTACTTACTAAAAATAAACTTTTGATAAAAAGTGTTAGGGTGTTAGAGGTCTACGCCCCAGACATGTCTAAGCCCACTTATATCCGAGAGCAGTTTTGGGAAATGTTAAGGATGGTGTTAATGAAGTGTAAGGGAATTGAAAATATTATTATGCTAGGAGATTTTAATGGAGGAGTTGGGGTGAGGAGGCTTGGTTATGAAAGGATATTGGGAACGTTTGGTGATGAAAGTATAAATGATAATGGTGAAAGTCTCCTCACCGTATGTATGGAAAAGAATCTTTTTGTGACGAACACTTGCTTTCGCCACAAGAGGATTCACATGTATACTTGGGAAAGAGGTGACGATAGAAGCATGATAGATTTCATAATTGTGGATGAAAGATTGAGGGGCGCAGTGGTAGATACAAGGGTTTACCGGGGTTCTAACGTAGGAACGGATCATTATTTGGTTTTATGCCGAATTAATGGTCTATTCAGGCGTTGGCGCTATCGATCATCTGTGTCTACCACTGCGTTACAGCGTATTAGAACAGAAAGGTTACAAGATGAAGGTGAGAAAAACAAGTTCAAATGTAGACTGAAAGAAAATATAAGTGGTTTGGATGAATTATGTATGAAGGAGTTAGACTTGGAGAATGTATGGCAAAACGTAAAGAAAGGTTTAGTGGATGCAGCTACCGAAGTATGTGGTGTTATTAAGACAAAGAATGAAAGGAAAAATAATACGTTATGGTGGGATGATGAGATACGTATGGAAGTTGAAGCAAAGAAGAGAGCATGGCTAGATTTACTAGCAACAGAAGCTGGTAATTCTAGCGGTACGAATGATGATATTGAAAGAAAAAAGGCAGTCTTTAGACATCTTAATAAGAGGGTAAGAAAGTAGTTGAAAGAAAAAAGCAAGAAAGAACGGATAAGAATGATAGAAGAATATCGGATAACTTCCAGGCAAATATTAAAATGTTCTGGAAACTTGTAAGAACTGCCAGGGGACGTTCAAAACAGCCTATGATGAATGCTATAAGAGACGAGAATGGCTATATTCTGAATGATGAAGTTTTGAGTTTAAAGAGATGGAAGGAATATTTTGAAAGCGTGTTTATGAGTGAGGAGACAACGTGTGTACTAAGTGAAGTAGAAACTCCGAAAGAAGAGGAAAGAGGTAGCGAGATAAGTATAGATGAAATAATGAAAGCAATGAAAAGCATGAAAGCAGGTAAGGCTGCCGGATATGATAGAGTTTCACTCGAAATGCTAAGGGCTGGAAAGGAAGTCGTGGCAGGCCTGCTGCACACTTTGTTTAATTTATGCTGGGCACTGAAGCGGGTACCGGTAGACTGGTGCAAAGCCGTGATAGTCCCAGTATATAAAGGAAAAGGGTCGCAGCAGGACTGTAGAAACTACCGTGGCATCAGCCTTCTTAGCATTGTGGG